AGTATCGGTGTCAAGTATCGTATCGAAAAACTTGGATACGCATGCGGATACGGATATGCTTTGGAAACGCATAGATACGAACGAAACATACAACTTGGATACACTAGAAAAACACATGTAAATTTCATAAATACATTAATAGCACTAAATTTATGGTCAAACAGTCATAAATAATGTATAAATATATAAGAAAGTGTACATAAAAATATATCATACAATGCATTAGTTAAGAGTCCAAGATGGACTTATTATATTTATTGTAATTATTATATCAATTATTTTCTATTTTATTATTTTTACATTTTAACACTAACAAAAAAAGTTAACCAAATATTAAATTCTCAAATATAAATTAAATTATCATTTAATAATTTATAAAATATATATAATTTTAACTTAAAATATATAAAATTGGTTAAATTTTCTAAGATATATATCATATGCAAATTCATAATTTTTAATTATTAAAATAATTATTTCATTGTTAAAATTTTTATTTGTATAATTTCTTTTGAAATGAAAAATCAATTTTCCATATAAATGTAGATTAATGGATTTGATAAATTCAATTTAATATTATATTTTTGAATATTTCGCAAACAAAGTTTTATTTTTTGTAAATAATAAATATGCTGTCATTTAATGTAAATTAAAAGATTAATTAATAATTATAAAAATATATAAAATTTGTTAGATATATATCATGTGAAAATTTATAAATTTTAAGTAGTAAGGTAATTATTCTACTATTAATATTTTATTTGTATCAATTTCTTGAGATTAAAATCATCTTTCGATATAAATACTTATTTTGTACATTTAATATAAATATAGAATTAATAGATTATTTATTCCATTTGTTTATAAAATATCACAAATTAATTAAAGTTATTTCATTTAATGATTATTTATTTGGATAGGCATTAATAAAAGTTATTTCATTAAATATCACAAATTATGGCATTGGCCAAGTGGTTTGACGGAGAGCTTTAGGGCCTTACACTAATAGCGCGGAATTTGACTTTTTTTAATCGAAGACACTATCGTATCGGTCGGTACCGTTGTGTATTGACCAATACAATGCGATACCACTCGATACGCACTTATGTGCGATTATAAGATACGTTTCCATTCGTAATGTATCTTGTATCGCCCTAATCCAATACCGATATAATACACCCCCGGACGTATATCATATCGATATTTAATTCCTTGATTTTAGCTATAATGGATGCAAACACTAATTCCAATAAAGCATATGCCTTTTTTTATCAAAAGCCCACGTGAACCGGCCGATTCCCGGTTTGCTGACCAAAATCAATGGTTTTGGGGGAAAAAGTGATTTTGGAGGAAAACGGAACCGGTCAGATGACCGGTTCCCGGTTTTTCTGGTCTGGTCTGATTTTGAAAACAGTGATGCAAATACTAATTTCAATAAAGCATATGCCTTTTTTTATCAAAAGCCCAATGGAATGCAAATTTACTTCTTTTTTTATTGATATACTTTTACATCTTATTATCAATGTAAATATGCATTAGAAAATGTGTCTTTCGTTATTTGTCAATGCATAAATGTAACGTTGTCAAATACAAGCAAAAGTGTACCAGAGTGCAAATTTATACTGAATCAGAATTTACACTCTATTTGCATCGTTTCCAAACGCAGCCTAAATGAAAAATGAAACAGTTTTATGAGTTACAATGGAACATATGGTCCGACAACTCAACTATCGCCCAATTTTAAGACTTCTGGGTGATTGGTTCTCCAAAGCGTTTACTTAGTCACAGCCTTCACAAGTTGACATCTATTAAAAAAAAATGAAAAAAGAAAGAAAAAACTTCACAAACAAGTATTCTATGTGGGGTTATACTGTATAATACTTGCAGTTTTAAACTTTGTATTAAATAAGAGTTATAATATAAGCTCTTAACAATTTTTTTTTACTTTTAATTTTTTTAATATAATATTTGAACATGTTGTGTAGTTGTAGTTGGCCCTTGCAGCTGGACTCACAATCCATGACCAACCCACCCTCACCTCAGCCAGTCGACTTCTGGAATTCAATTTTTAAGACAATAAAATAATCAAAGGGTTGGATCAATTTACAGCCATTAGGTCCTCCATCAGGATAAAGACAGCAGGAGAACTGTAATAGTAAGCAGTGGTAAAGGGGAAGATAGGGTTTCAATTCAACTGGGTAGTACAGTTCCAGTTCAAAACTTGAGTCACAGAAGTTACAGTCAACAGAGATAGGTGGGGTCACATAGGCATCTTCCCTTGTTGACCAGATGAGAAAAACAAAAAAAGAGGAAGACCTAGGTTAGGCTTTTCATCATTAAGGATGGGAATTCCTGATTGGTTGATTTCATGGCCCCAGTCATGGACCTTTCTTTTGTAGAGTATTAGTTCTCCAAGTAAAAAATAAATCTGAAATTATAGCCCCATCTAGTTTACTAGTAGCCCCCTATAAATCGCATCCCGTGAATTTGACATTCATCTATGGTCAGGATTCATTCCACCTGTATGGTAGAGTTAAGATTTCTAGGGGTGGGCTGAACAGTAAAAACTCCATTGTTATTAGCGCTATTTGGCACGTCTTTTTGCATGGTCTTTCGGCTGTTTATAAGCCACAACCGGGAAAACCGCAAATTGGTCTATTCCCATTTAACACATGGAAGATCTAACCACCAAAAGATGCACAATAAAGCTTCTTACACGTCTTTCACGTTTTAATTTCGTGTAGAAGAACCCGAAATGAAGCACAAAAAGACGCGTATCTACCAAACAGTCTTCAGACTGCCCAGATCTTATGTCAAAAGCTTAGTGTTAACTATCAAAATTACGAGAAGATCTTCCAAAATGACTTACCAAACAGGCCCATTGTTATTTGTATTATTCACGGTTTAAAGAAAGTAATTACAAGTATAATTCTGGCTGGGTCTGGATTCATTTTACACTCTTGGTGATGCAATTAATCCATGCCAAATTGTTGATTAATTCAGTTTTAGATCTCTATAAGGAAAAGCGCATTTGGTAAAGTGTCTCCCTTTCACAATATCTGTTAATGGGTTTGATTGACTTCATCAAATCTTTCTTATCCATCAATGGAATATATGAATATTTAAAGAGTAAATGGATTATTTTTCAATTGAATTTGTATTCATCCCGTTTCCTTCCTTGAGCAAGCAAACAGAAAACTTAGGCTGCTATAGTCAAATGCAATCTCAATCAACACAAATGCCTGTCCAGCACACAATTGACTCGATGTACAAAGATTCCAAAATTTTACTTGGTTGGTTGAAAGAAAAAAAAAATATATCTGTGTTTGGTGTGTTCCATGGGGAAATGAAAGAAATCTGTATTCGTGTTTTGATATTAGTGGGTCTCATGGGAAAAATGATTTTTAAACGGTTTATTTATTTAGATTATACCCTCCCAAAACTTGGATAAATTACTTTTTATTCATTCAAAAAATTTGCATAATATCATAATATTTTAGGACAAATACAGATACACACGATGCAGAATTCTGAATTCCAGCCCCCTCCTTACTATTAGCCCTCTCCTCCTATAAATTACATCCTGCAAAAAAAAATATTGATAATACATTTATCTAGAAAAATAATTTTCAAAAAATATTTACTTGAATATCTTCTCTTGTCATCTGATATGGATATGGTGCCAACTGCCAAGAGGCAAATTGGGTAGTCGTCCTTCGGTAGTGATGTCATCTCTGTCACCGTGACCTCAACAATGATATGCGAAGATATGGGTCCTTCTGTAGTGATGCCATCAAATGATATTTGATGGGGTTTTTATTGGAAAAGTGGGCCCCCCAGGAACACCCACCACACATCCTCTAAGCTCTCTCTGTCAATGCATGTGGGTCCCACATAAGAGTGTTCTAGATTCGAGGCGTTAGGGGTAAATTTGTAACTCGAAAAAGAAAAATGAAAACCCATTTTGGATTTGTATCAATAGCATTTTCATATCCCAACTTTTATATTTCAGTCCACCCGGAGCTAAGATTTCTAGGGATCTCAAATCCATGGCAGGATGCGATTTATAGGGTTACTAATAGATTAGGAGGGGCTACAATTCAGATTTATAAGGTGGATTGCAATGCACTTATCCTTAAATTTTTAAAATATTTTCTGAAACATAAATCAGTCGAAAAATAATTAATTGATATAAAATTTAACATGTGGCAATTTTTTTTCACCATAACACCTAGAGGTGTAAAATGGGTTGTCTGGCCGGCACGGTATGGCCCGCAATTTTGTATGGGCCATGCCGTGTTGGCTCTCGGACAATCACGGGCTGTGCTGCCCTCTCCGATGAAAAATTTGGAGGTCGGCCCAACATGGCCCACGGCCCTAGCCCGTGTGGGCCCATACCGTGCCGCGGGCCGGATTGGCCTGTGGGCCGAGCCTTAGGCCAGGTCGGGTCGTGCATCGGGCCAAAGTTATTTATTTAAAAAAATTGACAAAAAAACTTAAAATTTTAATTTTATATGAATTTTGTGTATAAAATTGCTTATATATACAATAATTAAATAAATTAGTATAATAAAATTAAAAAAATATTTATTTTATACTATATATTATTATATAATTATAATTTACATAATATAATATAAATATATATAAATAATATATATGGGCCATGTTACGGGCCATGTTAGACCGGGCTGAGGCTGGTCCGTACCGTAATGTACTGGCCCGTGGACCTAAAACCACAGACCCAGCACGGCCCGCAGACCGTAGTGTCGGGCCGCCCGCGGCACGGCCCGATTTACACCTCTACATAACATCCTTCACTCTTCCGCATAAGGTAGGCAGGCTCATTGCGGCCCATTTTCACAGTCTTTTGGGGCCCAGATCCTTTTCAGAATGGACTTGGATTAGTCAACAGACGACCGGGTCAGAGATCTCGGATGGATAGACATGCTCGTCGACCTGTCGACCAAAATTAACAGGAGTCTCTGACCAGAGCTATTAAGATTCGAAATTGGAAAAGTCGTCTCAAGTTGTCATTTCTGCTACCCATGCAGACGACTTTTATACTCTCTCTCTCTGGATTCTGCTCATGGATCTGGTAGAATGTAGAACGGTAGAAGTTGAGACAATCTAATACAGTTCAGAAGCCCCACAAGTCGTTTTCGCTTGAAATGAGTTGATCTCAATTCTCAAGTACGTTCGTTTGAGATTATTGAGAATTTCACCTGGGTGAGTTTTCTGGTTGATGCTCGTTTACTGGATTGAAAATGAAGAGGACAAATTTTTTGTTTCCTTCCTGCTGTAAAAATTGAAAAACAAATGAACATTTTAATTTAACCCATCATCCAGTGCCCTTTTATCATAGTTGAACGGCAAGAACTCTATACACGTAAACAATGATTAGCAACTCTGTGTTTGAACAAAAATAAAGAAATGTTTATAAAAAAATAATAATAATTAACAATGATTTCGTACCATAGCGAGACCCAACAAACACAAGAAACGGGTCCTTCACAGCAATTAAATCGAAAATGAAAACGATATACTTGTTGGGTTGTAGTAATTTTCACATTTGGAAATGTCGTCGTCGTACAATTTTCTTCGTGTTTGGGGTCTTCGCGTTTCGCTGTTTCACTATTCCTGCTGAATTCGAGAGAAACGGGATTTTTTTGAGTGTCTGTGTGATTGTTAGTCAGCCTCCCTCTCCGAAGAGGTGTTCGTGGGTGTTCTTCGGTGGCTTTGACCTTTGAGAGAACTTCTATGTAGTAGGTATGGCTTCTCTTCTTTCTGGTTCCTCTTTTCTTGAGCTGTTCCTTCTTCGGTTTCTGTTTGTTTTCAGTTCGTTATTGTTTTGGTCCTTTTGGACGTTTCTTTTTCGTGGCAGCTGTAAGAATGTAATAGTTTTGCATCCCTTTCGTGTTTTTCGAGCTTCATAGCAACTCCGCACAGTTTATTTTCCTTTCCGGGTTTTTATGTTTTTCGAGCTTCATAGCAACTCTCTCTCTCTCTCTCTCTACAGTTTTATCTTTATTCATTATTTTTTCCTTTTGATGTTATTATATTTTGGCTATGGGTTTTCTTTTGTAACCTATAAAGTTGCTCCCTAATTCCTTATGAATTTCTTGTTGTTTGTTTGGTTTGGTTGGGCTTGGAGTTATGTTATGGTTTATATTTCTCTTGGAGGGTTTTGATTGAGTATTCCTTCTGGGCCTCATTTTAGAAAACCACTTGACAATTGATTTTAATAGTTTTGATGCTGCTTTTTATTATTCCCCCCTCCCCCCNCTCCCCCAATCTATTTGGTTGATTTTGTATATTCTCAACGGTTTCTGCATTTTGTTCTAATGGTCTGTATATGAAGAAGAGAAAAAAAATGCCTTATTTATTTAATTAAGTTTGAGTATCATTTGAGTTCGTTGACTAATGAGACTGTCAAGCAGTGGAGAAATGGAGATTCTGGAAACAGAGGAACAACTTGCATTGCCGCCTCCTTCATCCTTAACTGTTGCTGTGGCTGTTAGTGGAAGTAAAAAAAGCAGATTGGTGCTTAGATGGGCATTGGATAAGTTCATTTCTGAGGGGGCAACATTATTCAAGTTGTTGCATGTCCGTTCTGTGATTACTAAAGTGCCTACACCAAGTAAGTAATTCCTTTCATAATAAGTCTCCAGAAAAGATCATAATTGTTGGGAAGATAAGCAGTATGAGGTCTAAGCACATGTTCAATTAGTTGGTGAAGGCAAGTTGGCTATTAAAGTGCTATGGTCTAAATATACCTGCAATACTCTCTTCCCCTGTCTTCAATTAGCAAAAGCAATTTGTTTCTGTTTTAAGTTGTCAAAAGACAAACTAAATTTTGCCTGAGGATAATTTCATTGTGTAATATCTAAGACTAGTTTCGAATGGGCTGAAACTCATTATACAATATCAGTTCTGTGATTATACATACTCAAAGTTGGAGTAACATGGCATGGTGCCTAAGAAATCCCTACACATTACCATAAACTCATAAGAGAAATATCAAGAAATGACAGTGATTGATGGCCTGCATTTGTTTTATCAATGTGATTTTTTGGTACTATCATGGTTTCTTCTTCTTAGATATGCAATGTTTCCCAATGACAGTCCATATCTTCCTTCTCAGAGTTCTCCTTAATTTGTTGAAATACAAGAATTACTTTTCTTATTGTTGGTAATAGATATGTAGTGTTACCTAAAAGGCATAGTTTATATGTTTTTTTCTCAGAACTCTCCTTGGCCTGTTAAAATACAGGAATGAGTTACACTTCTTATTGGAAGTGACAATGATGATTGCTATTATAGTTGTCATTATCATTTTGGGGGTATGGCTCCAATTCATGTGAAGGAGTTAATGTCATCTTGTTTGTAATCCCTAGGGCTGTGAATTCAATGGGGACATAGTATCTTCACTTACCGGAGATGTAGAACTTGTTTGTGCCCTACCATCTTGTTAATGTAGTTTCCTCATATCTCATTCTCAACATTTCCTCTAGGAAATTGGGTGTGATTACCCCCAGTCATTTCAAATCTGCTAATACTGATTTAAGACTTTATCAGCACTAGTATTGGTTTTAGTAGATTCCTGAATGCTGAAAATAAACCCAAATAGTGGAATTAGGAGATTCATGGAACTTAGATTTCTAATTCTGCCATCAAAACCAAATTCACCCTAATCTAAAATGGCATAACTTTTAAATTATTAATAATATGTATATTTTGCGCTCAAGGAGCATAATTTCTCTAATGGTCATGTTAGGTGACAATTTGGAATCAGACATCAAAATTATCCTTTTCCTTTGCAAATAAGTTCGTTATTAAGTTTGACTGAACACTTTCTGCTTGATGCTTGGGATTGTTGTCTAGTGGGGAATTCCATTCCTATCTCACAAGTGCGAGATGACGTAGCTGCTGCATATAGGAAGGAAGTGGAGTGGAATGCAAATAACATGCTTCTTCCATTCAAGAAAATGTGTTCTCAGAGAAAGGTCAAAATCTCTTGGTCCTTTATAGGCTGTTCTAAAAGAATATTCAGAAATACAGGAATAATCAATTTGGTTCTGCATGCAGGTGCAAGTAGATGTTGTGATGGTTGAAGCGGATGATGTAGCAAAGGCGATATCAGGAGAAGTTGCTAACCTCACAATAAAGAAGCTTGTTATAGGAGCTTCATCCCATGGCATGTTTACAAGGTAATAGCATAGTTGCTTTTGGTTAGTAGTTTGGCTCTGGCTTTTAGTTGTCTATCTTGAACAAGATCAATTAATCTGCAAATTAGAAAACAAATAAATAACATCAGACCATCTAGGTGCATTTAGATTCTATATATTAGCCACATTAGTCAGCAATGCCTACACAGAATATAATCCAGATTCATCTGTTCTGAAAGATAAAAAAGCCCAGATCAAGCAAAAATACCTGTGGTTCACTTGATGGATGAATTAATAGATTAAGAAAATTTTATCATGTTTGAGAAACTTCACAATAAGATGTCTAGAAAGTTGACATAATTTATGCAATCATGCTTAGAGTTCCTTACCATATAAAAATTGGATACTTCAAAGGGAGAAATACTATTTTCACTTTTTCCTTTGCTTGTTTGTTAAGTCATCAATGTGAAGGTCTGTTGAGTCTGAGTTCTTGAATTTATTGCAGAAGAATCTATGAGATACTCTTGAAAGTTTCCTCTTGCCAATAATATCTTGTGCTTTTAGGAAACAATGACTCAGATTTCCTGTGGCTTGACCATGATTCATGGTGCAGTTGGGAAGTGATAAGCAATCTAGTTACTTCTAGAGGGTTTTAGGAGGGTTAAAAACTTCGGGAAACAGGCCTAATATCTAAAGTTTGGTGCAAACAACAATAACCAGAAGTCAAGGGACAAAGGGCAGTGAGCACCACAACCATAGGTATAAGCAATATAATATGAGAACCACTCAATATCAGAGAGTACTTTGAGTAATATATCATATAGCCAAAAAGTCCCAAAGAAAGCTGTAATTTTCATCACAAATTTGAGCCTCAACTCAAATTAAATTCAACTCAGCCTTTATCACAACTATCTAGGGTCAGCTACATGAACCCTATCCTGCCAGTTTTTTCTCTATCAAGAGCCAAATATCCTACATAAACCTTACCTTTCACTGTCCGAAACTAATAATTTGTTCCAGAAGTAACCCCAATTTTTTAACTTTTTTGATATATCCATGACACTACAGGAGGGTCGTAACACATGGTTAAAGAATTGAATCAAGAGCATTTAAAAGTTAATAGCCTCCAATCCTTTTAATAGGTGACATGGTCTCAACAACCATTAATTTTTTTATAATGAACTAACTAATGGAGAAATTATCATATGTAACTCACTAAAAATTATTCACCATTAGTCACCAATTAAGGGCTAATACCCAATGTTGATCCTGGCTATCTGGGGTCTTGGGAGAGGTGGACTGGATATCAACATAACCTTTGGCTCTTTATCCTTTTGACTCGATCCGAATTCGAGCTCAAACCTCATAGTTTACTGGTGAGCCAAGCTCGAATAGCTAGATATTCAGCTCGGCTCAAATCCACCCCTAGCTTTATACACTGCATGACTTGGTACTTGTGATTCTCTTAGACCTTTCTTTATTTTCTCTTTTTTTTTCTACATTTTTTCGCCTTGATTCTCCCAGTTGTGTGTGTGTATAGATAGATAGATATTGTTTTGAATGTCACAGAATTTCTCAATGTCTCTATACTTTTATTCATTTATTACATCTTGTATCAGTTTCTTCATTTTCCTCAATGTACATGTTAATAATTAATATATTTATAGGAAGTCTAAGGCCCATATTTTATCAACAAGAATCTCAGAATGCACTCCAAGCTTTTGTACAGTCTATGTTGTTTCAAAAGGGAAGTTTTCATCTGTGCGCCCATCGACATCAGAGACAAATGTGAGCATGAAACCTGAAAGTAGTGAGACAAGTAGTTCCACATATAGTTGCTCAAGTTATGCTTCCAGCTTTAAATCAGGTATTAGTATTTATCACTTCCAGTAAATGTTTGAGCTACCTATTGAAAAACTGATGGCTTTGTTAAACAATATTTATAACATAAATTTTTATGTGTCTGTTTTATTTTATTTTTATTTGGCCAAAAATCTGAATGGGATTGGAGTCTAGAAAGACTCTTATTGATTTATTAGTAAGAGTAAAAAGGACATTCTGGGGGAGGGATGCAGCACCATCTAAAGAAAAAGATATGACTAAACACACACATGCCCCAGCTTGTAATAAATGATGTGTTTATTGCAAAAACCAAAACTTCCTTCTCATTTATTGTCCTCATTTATATTACTATCTTCTTGCTGCCAATTTTCCATTATTTAACTTTTCCACTGTTGAAAATTGGAAAAGTTCAAAACAGATGTGGATTAATTAGGGCATGAAATTAGTTGGACCTAGAGCAGATCCAGCCAAATCCAGATTCAGGCAAAATAGGAAATTTGGTATTTGGCATGAGGCTGATCCAGCCAAATTTTGGTCATATATGATTGTCCCATAAGGATTGAGTCCATTTTAAAATATGGATCATTTGTGATGGTCCAAACCTGTTAAACATTTGTCTGGATCTGGAATAGAACTGATCTCAGATCTGACCCTTTTATGAATTAGGGTCGATGTCTATAGTCATCCATTCTCAAAAAAAATGCCACATGAAGTGGCATATATGGAACTTCAATGATTAAAATATAAATAACTTATTGGAAAAAACGGGGTTGTGACAATTTTTTTTATTCAATATTGTGTTTTGTTAGTTCCTTTAGGGAGAAATTTTAATGTCCAAGATTATGGTAAATAGGAATTGATTATAATATGTTTGAAATGGATGGGTGGACCCATCAAGCAGTGACTGACATTCCTTAGCACCAATACCATATTGTAATCCAATGAGAGTGGTGAAGACAATGAACTTAATTGAGGGTAATCAGTAACGAAAGAAAGCTGAATGTTAGAAATTCAGAGTGAAAGTAATGGCAATTAAGATAATTGCGTACTACTTACAATTATATGCTCTTATATTCTTTTGTATGGACAGAAACTGGCTCAGCTGCTTCATACTCAAATTTCAATTCTCCTTCTCTGTGCGTTCAGAGGTTTCAAGCTCTTTCAACCATAAACCAGACCTTCTTTGATGCAAAACCAGATCCAACTGACAGCATCCATTCTAGAGGTACATCTATTGATATCAAAGATAGGGAGGATGCTCTTAGTTCCTACTCCAGAAATACAGATATTCAGTATGGCAGAAGCAGGAGTTCCGGGACAGATCTCCAGTCATGGAATTCTAATGGAGCATCTACCTCAGATGTCCAAACAGATTCTTCTCTACCACAGAGCCAGGTAACCTTTTTTCCCCATTTTGTTAGATGTTCCTAGGGCATGTGTACAAAAATATGCATCACCAAAACATGTTCTGTCTAATACAGCACTTCTCTGATGACTTTGGCACAATACAGCATGACATTCTTTGTTGAAAATAACCAAAAGAGACAAATAGAAATAGGAGGTATAGTTTTTGAAAAAAATATATTAATGCATAGACAGAACCAAAGGTGACTTCAGCTTGTCTATCTATTTGTGGCCTACACTTGGTATGCATGAAAGAACATGGGAACCACTTGTAGATTTCGTCTTGGATAACTTCCATAAAATATTTGATTCATTAAATGATTATAGGACATATGACTTACTGCATTCATTTGAAAGGTCAGAAATACGGCGAGGAGTCTAAATAAGTTAATGATTTTAGCTACTGAAGATCCATATGAGAAGCCTTGTAAATTTAACCCGTCAAATGGTCAGTCACAAAACCATACATCTACTGGTAGATGGTCTTCATCATCTGCTGAAATGCCACCTTAATTTCTCTTATGCATATTGTTGTTCAATATTTTGTTCTATGTAATCATGTTTAGTCATACACTTGCAGGTTGATATTAATTTTGAGCTAGAAAGGCTGAGAATTGAACTCAGACATGCACGAGGAATGTATGCAATGGCTCAAAATGAGACTATAGATACCTCCCAGAAAGTAAGTTTAACGACAAAGAAAATTTTAATTACATTATAATTTCTATGGAGAAAGAGCTAGAATCAGCCAAGAACCTATACCATTTATTGATGGCTATGTATGTACCCATCAGCTCAATTGATACTCATGATGTTGTTCTGATCATTTAAATGATGGGCAACCTAATTAGATGTGTCATATCCGCAGAGATACACCATTGCACTGTTGTGATCTGATTAATGACCTTTTAACTGCTTTTCTTTGTTCACACAAATAAATACAGTGATGTTCTTTATTTTTATCAGTTAAAAGCTCTAAGTAACCGACGGATGGAGGAAGCAAATAAGCTCAAGGAGGTGACTTCAAAGGAGGAGGAAGCTATGGAATTAGCAAAACAAGAGAAGGAGAAACATGAAGCTGCAAAGAAGCAAACTGAATTCTTAAGAGAATGTGCTGAAAGAGAATCTTTACAAAGAAAAGAACTGGAGGCTAAAGCCAATCGTGAAGCCAGAGAGAAACAAAATCTTCAGAAGGTACTTGTGGGTCCTGATGAGCAATACAAGAAGTTCACATGGGAGGACATCTTGTCAGCTACCTCATCATTTTCCGAGAATCTTAAGATTGGAATGGGAGCATATGGGACTGTTTATAAGTGTAATTTGCATCACACGACAGCAGCAGTAAAAGTCCTGCATTCTAAAGAGAACCACAGGACCAAACAATTCCAACGGGAGGTATGTTTTTTGGGGCTAGAAAATGAAAACCTGAATCTCTTCCCTTTTCGCCAGACATAAGTATATAATTCTGCTCTTTAAAAGGAGTATGAAATTTCTTTTTCTTTTCTTTCCTCTAACTGATTTGTAAAGAATAGTATTTCAAATATTTCTGGTGACTATGTCTGTCAAGTTTCAATACACTAGCTTGTTACAGTGTTCTGTTTTTCCTCCTAACAATGTAAGGGCACCTGCTGTCTCTATGGTGTTCACATATTAATATGTTTTAAGCACTCTAATATTTTCTTATGTCAAGGTGGAAAAAATCTTCTCTATTAAACATCGAAGATTATTTCTCTTACACTGAATATTGTTATAAGCTTTTAAATTGAAATAAAATCACATTAGAATCAGACATGTCTGTTTATATTACAAACCTCTTCTTCATTTTCTCTAAAACTTTTTTTCAAGTTCTTTAGTGTATTGCATTCCTTGTGATTGTGAATGACCTTAAGTAGATTTTATTTCTAAGATGTTCTATGGTTTATGAAAAAAAAAAATCTGTTGTGTGCAAGAAAAAAAATTACCTGCTGATTTATTGTTGTAGACTATTATTTTATTTTTCTATTAAATACTAGAAATCAATTTGAATAGACGTTGTTCGCCTTGCCTAATCGCCAAGCAGTTTTCTACTTCCTACTATAAAATACTTTTTTATTCGTTCTTTTTTGAGATTATAATTATAAAATAGACGTTATTAAACTAAAATAATCATTTTGTGTGTTTATATACTAATTTCTTTTTATTATTTTCTTATTTATTAGGGTTTAATCAACACAAACATTGCTAAATGCTGTATTGAACCCTCAAAGACTTGAAAACCTGAAACAATAAGGAAGAACATAAAATTTTATCTAATCAGCACATTTTCCTCTTCCATATTAAACTAAAATAATCATTTTGTGTGTTTATCTAATCTTCTTCTTCTTCTCCTTCTACTACTACTACTACTACCAATACTTTTTATTTTCTTCTTTTCCTATAACAAAAATAAGGGTTCAGCCCCTATATTTTTTGAATTTTATTTTCCTTCTTCCTTTTCTTCTAATGAATATGTTGATTTTCTATACTTTAATATGAAATTTATACTTTTCTTATGAAAATCATGAATAATTATTAAAGAAATATGGTTATGGTACCTAGGGAACTACCCTAGGATCTATGTTTTAACATAAAAAAATCCACTGCCTAGGCGACTAGGCGACAAGGCGCCCCCCAGTTGCCTAGCCTCGCCTTGGCACCTTGAAAACTATGATCCACAGAAGGATAATTCTTCTACTATATTCCATATGTAGCTTACTGGGTACAAAGATCAGTACTTATTGTAAGAACACTACTTATGCCTTGTATATTTTATAATGTCTCTATTTCTCATGATCATACCCTTTTTATTTATGCCCAAGTTGAATGGTTTACTATCTTCCAAATTCAACAATAGAATCTTAGAGATTAACCTTAATGATTCATTGATATTCCTTTATTGGGTTTCAGCTTGAAATCTTAAGCACAATCCATCATCCACACTTGCTGCTGCTTCTTGGTGCCTGTCCTAATCATGGTTGCCTAGTTTATGAGTACATGGAGAATGGTAGTCTGGAGGAGAGGCTGTTTTGTAAAGATAATACACCACCGATCCCATGGTTTGAGCGGTACCGGATAGCATGGGAAATAGCATCGGCCCTGGCTTTCCTACATAGTTCAAAACCAAAACCAATTGTCCATCGTGATCTGAAACCTGCAAACATCTTGCTAGACAATAATTATGTGAGCAAGATTGGTGATGTAGGACTTTGTACATTGATTCCTTCAGCCAACTCTTCAATATCTACCATATGCAAGAGCACAGGTCCTGTTGGGACACTTTGCTACATTGATCCTGAGTATCAAAGAACAGGGTTGGTCTCACCTAAATCTGATGTTTATGCATTTGGAATGGTGATCCTGCAGTTGCTGACAGCAAAACCTCCTATAGCTCTCACCCACATAGTGGAAACAGCATTAGGCAATGGTCACTTGATTGATATTTTAGATCCTGAGGCTGGAAAGTGGCCAATTGAAGAGACACAACAATTAGCTATTTTGGGACTAAGCTGCACAGAACTAAGGCGTAGTGATAGACCTGATTTGAAGACTCAAGTTCTTCCAGTTCTGGAGACCTTGAAAAGGACTGCTGATAGGGCAAGAGATTTGAGACCTGGTGTTCAACCATCTCCTCCAAATCACTTCATCTGCCCAATACTTAAAGTAAGCCTCTTGCAACCTCCCAATGGTATTTCTAACATTCATATAAAGTGGCTTCACAGACTCTAAAAATTTTTGTTGTCAACATTGCTTCTCATAAGGACAAAAAAAAAAGAAACAGTGAAAAAAGAAAGAATATTCTTCTGGAAAATGCACCTGGAATTGTGAAAAACTTATTAAATGGTTACATCCATATTAACCAGATACAGCAAGGACATGGTATCAGAAACGAAATTTATACTAAAAATTAAAGTTTCTTTTTGGGGTTATAAGCAAGTTTATGTCACTTTTTATTAATTCTAGATATTTTATGACTGTCCTTCCATATAAAGGTTGGAGAGTAATCTATTATTATCAAAGGGGAATGAGTAGTCTTCCTGTTTATGCTTACTTCTATTCTGGGATTGGTTAATCAAATGTGCTCATCTTGTAATCAGATTTTACTGACAAGCTTATCTTAGGATCTGCTTGATATAAATATTGTTCTTTGTCCAAACTCATTATGTCGAGTTTGACATGTGTTTATGAATTTTTTTTTTGTACAGGATGTGATGGATGACCCTTATGTTGCTGCAGATGGATACACATATGATCGCAAAGCAATAGAGATATGGCTTGCTAAGAATGATAAATCGCCAATGACAAATTTGCCCTTGCCTAATAAAAACCTCATACCAAATTATACTCTTCTTTCTGCAATTATTGAGTGGAAATCGACTAAACAATGACATTCACCTTTCCACTCACTGTCTCAGTGATGGTCTATGAAGTTTATTCATTTGAAGAGTCATTGTCTAATCTCAAATAGAACTGTCAAGGCTCCACACCAAATGACTCTGCTCATAAGTCATAAGTTCTTTGGTAATATGTTGAGATTGTTGATCTTTACTTGAACAGGGACCTCGCCTTCTTTAAAAAAAATTGAAAGTTAAATTTGAATAGGGTGTAGAAAATACATATACATAACCAATGGGCATGTCCATATAAAACTAGACTATCCTAGACCATCCTCTGAGTTAAGAACCAAAATTGAGGGGTTAAACTAGAGAAAGGACATCCATTACATTTAAATCCTGGACAGGTCTGTAGTCTTCTATGAATTGTCCTTGTGGCAATGACTAATTTCTGTTTGTGGGATTGAAGAGAATCTGTAAGCTTGAGTTGTTGGTGTGCAGGGAACACAATGTGAATTCTATTATCTAACATGTCTGATGAATTTGGAGATTCTTTTTCTTCTCCATACAATCACTTGCATAATTAAAACCTTTTCTTTAGAATTAGTGGAGTTTGTGTTATGAACTGTCACCACTTCAGATTGTATTTCTCCACTGTAATACCTCCTTGTTTCTTTCTCTTTATATCCTCTTGTGTATTCAGTTACTTGTCATTTTCCACCGTAAACATGCATGCCCAATTATGCGCATATATTTGTTAGTGAAATTGAAGCACCGACCTTGGTTACCAGCTAGCAAGGAATTCTGAGGAAACATGGTTGTGATGGGGATAGTGAAGGAAATTCCAAAGTATATGCCAATCACTAGACGTCTAGACCTGTTAATAGGCCGGGATTGGGTTGAGCATTAGCCAAAATTTTAACGGGTCTGACCCAAAGCCCAAGCCTGAAGCAGTGTAAAATGTTCATGGGCCGAGCCTGAAGCCTGGCCCATGAACAGGTCTACCGATCACACAGTACGCTATATTGCTTTTTTCTACTTCAACAGCCTTGCTCTAATTTGGTAGGAATCCAATGCTTTAATTTTAGGATTCCATATAAACAAGTTGTAGGGATAAACATAAGCTGGGTCAAGCCACCTATTTGGTATTAGAGAAGGATTAGGCGAAGCCATTTGTTTGGTGAATCCTTTCAACATGGATCTATCTCAAGGATAGAAACAGAGTAGAGTATGGTAGTATGACATCAAACACACATTAAGGGTCCATTTGGCTTGCGGGTATAGGGGTCTGGAATCAGAATGAAAATCCCATTCCCATTTTTGGTGGAATGGCAATTCTCCCGTATGAGGGAATGACCATTCCCTCCCTCTTGGTCGGGAATGAGAATCCATTCCAACCAATTCTAATTCCATTTCTAATACCAGTTTCAACCAAACAAGTGGGGGAATAAACCATTCTGATTCTGACTCCGATTCTAACCCTGAACCAAATGGGCCCTAAATGAAGTCCAGCCAAATACAGCCATGGAAGATGCTTGTGTGGTTATAGGTGAGAGCTGTCCATATTAGCTGTGGGCTTGGAGCCAAGAAAGAAAGACCCCCCCCCCTTCACTCCACGCTGTAATGGGGAGCCCAGATCGCAGCACAATCCTAGAATAAAACTGATGACAGATGGAGAGATATAGAGAGATGGTTTGTCCCATCTGGGTTGCCTCCTCTTGGCCCATCAAGCTGAGTGACTTGTCGAGACGAGTCTCTTCACTTCTCTGATCTCTCTAAGTACCGTCTGTATCTGATTGATTGCATTACAAAAAAAAAAAAAAAAAAGGTTAATTACTTTAGCCAAATGGAGGGTTAACACTTAACACTTGACAGTCAGTAGAAGAAGGCCCAAATAAGTCCAGTGGGCACACCGCACACGTGTGAGTCCAATCCATATATGCCCACCCGACGTGATTGATTGTTCATTGTTTGATTTTATTATCAACTGTTGTTTTCTCCTGCAGATGTGCAGTGATGCACGTGTGTCCTTGTATTTTCATCATTTCATTGCCTCCTGTGTCTCTAATTTGGTCGAGTCTGGATCTGTTATTCAGATAGCGCGCCTCACACCGATCTCACAGTATGTCTTAATTTCACGTGAATGTCCTAGCCGCATATTGGGAATATTTCTTGTACTTGAGAATATTTATTATGTTACACCTTATAGTCTACTGGTAGCCAAGGTTCAAAGTATTGATATATATCGGCCTGTATTGGTCGATACATATCGTTCCGGAACCACACCGATATGCCCCTACACTGAATGTATTGGTGGTCTGACTGGTTCAGGGTGTGGCAAAGACCTAAACCGATTCCCCTGAACTAGTTAGCGAAAAATAAATAAAAAAAAAACCATCAAAAGGAGTATCGAATCGCCTAATGTACTCATACCAGCGTATTAATATTTTGAACTTTGCTAATAACCCTCCTCACTATAAACCGCATCATGCTCATAAATTTGACATCAATCCACGCTCGAGATTCATCCCACCTGTACAGTGGGACTAAGAAATTTGAGGTGGGCTGAATAGTCATTCTCCCTATAAGGTGGAATGTGGCTGTGAGGCGCGCTCTGTGAAAAACAGATCCCGGCTCAATTTGGCCTTACAAAATTAAATTAAATCAAATCCATCATTAAGCATGTCTACTCTCTGTCTCTCTCTCCTTTGTCCCCATTTGATCTCTCACAAGTCACACCCAACGATAGAAAAACCAAAGTGAACATGCTCTCCCACAACTCGACAAATCAGGCTTCAACTTCTATGGCTCATAAACAACAAAATTTACGCAGTGAGACTGAGACTGAGACTGAGAGACCCTCATTCATTACTCATTACAACACTGCTCTGCTGCTCTACTGTTAGCACTTAGCAACGCCCATGCTGTCATGTGGGCCCCCACTCTGCCTCTGATTTGAGCAAGCCCATGAGCTCCATCCACGACAAGCAAGTTTTGTTCCCCACTTGGGCCCCCACAAAACTGAGAAGAACCAACCACCAGTAGAAAACGTGGAATTGTAGCAACCATTTTTTTTTAGTATTATACATATAGTCAGGTTATGATTAGAAGAATTAAATAATACTTCCATCATTCCCCTATTTCAAATTAATAACAATAATAATACAACCAAGGCAGACATCCTTCCAGGAAGGCACCAAGAGGATCTAAATTACTAAAGTAACCCTATCCTAACAGGGATGGATGAGGTTAAAATTGTCATTATGTAAATAATGGAGTCATTAATGTGGGCTTAATACCACTAGCACTAGCACATTACATGTGCAATTAAACCTTTAAACAAATGGAAACCAACGGTCACATGGGTGACCAGCTAAGAGCCAATGGGCTTATACCATGCATAGAGCTTTGAGAAGGGAAGCCCATGTGGCAATGTAAATGCCTTGTGCCTCGTTTGGATTGACAGAAAAGAAAAATAATAATAAGAGAGAAACAGAAAGCTGAGCTCAACTTTGTGTTGCTGTCTTTATTTTTAATTGTTTTCCTGTCAAACCAAAGTACCAAACACAGCCTTAAAGTGTACCTTTTGTATGGTGTTACTCAGCTTAGCAGCTTGTCCATTATCAGTTGAGGTGGGACCGCCCCATACCCCCAACAAACATCATCAATTCAATCGTGTTCGCTTAGAAGAAGGCAAAATCATTTAGACATTAGGGGCCTTACAATTTAGCCCAAGCCCAATGCATGTGCTTGCATTTGACTGATGATCCGGGCTGTCTGCATACATGATACAGCCCTCTAGGCACTGTTGCAAACCCCAAACCGCATCTAGCTTCTAGTTCTAGGCATTCCTATGGATGGTCCCAGTTTTAACAAAGTCTTGAAATTTTGACCTGGTCAACACATCCAGTTCTCTGTTTGATATAATTGATCAAGTTGGACATGTGGGACAGTGCGGAATTAAATCATTGAGTTAGACTAGGAAGGTTAATTAGGTGGAAGAATCCCAGATTGGTCACTTGAACCAAAGTTTATGTTTCCCACCCTATGGATCATCAACTAGAATTGTTTATAGCTTCAAGAGAGTGAAAATCACATCCAAAGTATGTAAGAACTACATTATAATATTGCTGTTTATTAATAATCAATGAAACAGGATTTGATTACCAAGATTGTGATCTCTCATAGATCAATCTCTTGATTGCAGAAAAACCCTAAGTAGTTTTTATTTGTATGGTGGGTTTGTGTGTGATAGATTTTTTTTTTATTATTATTATTTTTTCTAGTATTGATGTGATATTCCCAAGTTCATTACATGGACTTGACAATATTATTCCATATAATTTTGCATAGAGAATGGTGGGGAGAGGGAGACAGACTTTTTTACTTATGAATAGGGTGGGTAGTACAGCCTTGCATTTAATGGAGTGAGTAGTACTGTTTTTTTAATTAACTTTGTATTTAATTCATTATTTTCATGTTGAGAGTTCAGAGTTGAATTTTTCAAATCTACATCTTCTCTGGTAAAATCTGGTCAAATTTTGGGAGCTGTTCTCTCTCTCTCTCTCACACATCCTCTACTTGTTATCTTTTCCATTCTCTTCCTCAAGGCCCAAACTTGTTCACGTGCAGTGGCTGCATGGTTCCGTATTCCAATAGCAAGGTTCCTCAAAGCATGCTTCATTGGTTCCATATTCCCTTAGCCTGTTGCTTCACAACTTCTTTCTTCTCTTTTTTTCCTTTTTCTCTTGTTTGGAAATACCCCAACTTTTTGTACCAATCTGACTGATGAGAAATAATTACATCTCAACATGAACAAACTGTTGCTTATGTTGGATCCATTCAGAATAGCAGCAAGCCAATACAAACATCAACTGTATCACGTCACTGTAATAGACAACCAAGTAGAATATGAAACATCAATCTAGCGTCTACGCCTCAATTGGAGAAGTGATGACTACTGCAAAAAGCTTGGGAATATTGGAGGAGGGGAGAATTCTCGAAAACATCAAACCAAGATATATCCCTTTCATCTGTAGCTTTCATTTCTCCTTTCACAGTAGAGAGACAGAGAGAGAGAGAGTGTGTGAAGGAGTTGGGACTTGGG